CATAAAATTGAGAAATTAGGGGTTCTGAATGCTTTCTGGACTATTTTTTTTTTAAAGTTAATTGAAAGTAAAAATAAAAAATATACCCTTTTCTGAGATGTGAAGGGGTTAAAGCTCCATTCCCATCTTGACCACCGGTGGTACGGATCCTTTCCATTTGAAATGTGTGTTAATGCAAGGGCTCTGCTATCATTCAATATTTATCTTAATTCAATATACTAGCAAAAACACCATTTTGCAATATTAAGCTATATATAAAAGTTAGTATATTAAAAAAATTCAAAGTGCCATTCATATTTTTTATTAATATAGTGAGAGAAGGACCTATAACTATTGTTAAATTTTTTCTGTGAATATTATAAATAAAAGAGAAGATTACAACAGCAATATGCTGCATAACCGAGGTATACTATTTCAGCCCAAAGATAGTAGTGTTAACATATTTTAGTACAGTAAGTAACAAAATAAAATATAAGAGCTTTAAAGGGAAAGCACTATTTATTTTTTAATAGATACCCTTCAGCTGTGTACATGTTTGCATAGCAATGAATACTTGATTGATAATGATTCTTTATGGTTTTTCAGATAACATGGCATTCACTACTTTCTCTTTTCTATATTCTATATCAAAAACCTGTCTGGCGCACATATTTTTATGGTACTTGACAGACATAAGCACACAGTATTTATATGGTTGGTGTGTGGCGTGTTTTACTGTTTGAAAGATGCTCAACTAACTTTTCAATCATGGAACTTGTTAAATTCCTGAAACATTGCATGCTGCATGTTGCCACTCCAACAATTATGGCTAACGGGAAGTTATACTACAACATATACAAAGATCTTACAAAGTTACATAATTGTCTAGGTTGAAAAAAGAATAAAGTCAATAAAATTCAACTGTGAACCACAGTCTTTGATGGTGTTGATCCAAAACATGGCTAAAAAAAACCAATTGTAGCAATTTCCTATTATGCCACATAAACAGAAAAACTCCTTCTTGATTCCATAATGGCAATCAAATATCTCCTTGGAAAAGCAACTGGTTTACATAAATATCAATTATTACCTTGAATATTCTGTTTACGCAAAAAAGCATTCAAACCTTTTTTAAATGATGTATAGAATCTGATAAGACAACCTCTTTAGGCATAGAATACCACATCTTTATTAAACAATAAGGAAGGGAGACAGGAGAAGGGACAGGATAAATGGTAGAGTGACCTGCAGAGTGGCAATTGCCTCATTATAAAAGGGTGACCTTAGGATAGGTTGGGCTCGGGGAGATCACAAAAGAGGAAAGATAATTAAAACTTCACTTTTAATGTAAATAGTTAAAAGGGGGGTATACAAACAAAGTTTAATTGAAATAACTGTTGTAAGAAATCTTCAAGTGATACAGTTACACTGCCTGTTAACAGAGTGAAATGCCACTGTGGGAACAACAGCTACAAATTAGTAGTGTCAATAATGTATCGATATGCCAGTACCCGGGCTCAAGGAAAAATAGCCAAGTCCCAGTGAGCTGCACTGAGGCTGTTAACAAAGCTGATAACCATATTTACCGAAACTGCAGTGTCTGGACTCTAAAACAAGCTTGAGAGTGCCAGTATACTGCAGAAAAGAGCATCTTAGAAATGATGACAGGGTCCTGTGTTAAAGACCGTGAGAAATAGCATCTAGAGGTATGTGCTGGCGGGAGTATCTGCAGTATAGAAACTAGGAGGTGCAAACTGCAAAATGTTGCCTGGTAGATTCTGCAGGAACTGGCTTAATAACCAACAAGCTATGGGTAGAGAGGGGTTAACTGCAAAAACACTGGAAATCCTAGTGTTATGGTATGTGCAGACGTGAGTATCTGCAGTATAGTAACTAGGAGGTGCAGACTGCAAAGATATTGCCTGGTATATTCTGCAGTAAAACTACACAAGCACTGGAAATCCTAGTGTTATCGTATGTGCAGGTGGGAGTACCTGCAGTATAGTAACTAGAAGGTACAAACTGCAAGATGTTGCCTGGTAGATTCTGCAGGAACTGGCTTAATAAGCCACAAGCTATGGGTAGAGAGGGGTTAACTATCAAAACACTGGAATTCCTAGTGTTATGGTATGTGCAGGCGGGAGTATCTGCAGTATAGTAACTAGGAGGTGCAGACTGCAAAGATATTGCCTGGTATATTCTGCAGTAGCTGGCTAAAAAAACCAACAAGCTATGGGTAGCGAGGGGTTAACTACAAAAACACTAGGAATCCTCCTATGCTTGTGGTCCCTAAGTACTTGTGCCTTCGAGGGCACCCCCTTAGCCAAAAGCCTACAATCTCCTATGGAAATACAAATAGAAAATTCCCACCAATACTGCTACAATGAAAGAAGTGTGCTGGAAATGCCTAGACTTTGTAGGCTGCTTCGAGTGCTGCTGGGTAACGGCCAAGCCGATGCTGATAGAAAGCTCTAATTGGTATGGTAAGTAAAGAGGTCACTCTTAGTAAAGTGACTGGTGGATAGCGCCAGTGATGTTTCCCCTGACGCGCGTTTCACCTCACAGGTTCATCAGAGGGGAACCGGTTTTGTGATTGAATCATGTTTTTAAATGTCTGGTGAAGTTCTCATTGGTGGATTTAAATGAATTTAACCAATGAGAATTCTTCTATGCCTTAATGGGTGGGTAAGTAGTGGAGCAAAAATGTTACTCTTACATGTTTGGTAGAGATTAGTAGTAAAGATGCTATAAATAAATAAATAAAACGCGAATGATACGAAAATATTACTGAGAGTATTAAGGCTTGTGAAATATATACTAGGCATGGTTCTTAACTAAAAAGATTTGCCTGGCGTTATCCACAAACATTGTGGAATAGAACATAAGACTTAACTGGTAGGAAACTTGAAAGAGCTATTCAAAGCTTTAACTTGCTAAATGAAAGCATAAGCATAATAGTGTTAATCAATTAACTATTTACAACCTTATGTTACAAAATAAAACTTAAGTTTAATAATGACTAGTTGCAGCCATTATGTGACAGAAATGAAGACTTAAGCATGATAATATTATACAATGAAAGTTTCAACCTAATGTTGTTAAATGAAGACTAAAAAATAGTAGTGGAAAAATAATAACTATTTGTATAGGAAGCATAGGCGTGCGCAGCCTTTTGCATTAGGGTGTGCACCCTAAAGCACAAGCACACGCTGCATATATATATATATATGTATGTATGTGTATATATATATATATATATATATATATATATATATATATGTGTATATATATATATATATATATATATATATATATATATATATATATATATATATATATATATATATATATATATATATATATATATAAATGGAACAAATTGAGAGCACTCATTGGATTTAGTAAACAAAAAAATATATTAAATCAAACGCATATAAATCAACGTTTCGACCGTCTAGCGGTCTTTATCAAGATGCTATGACATGTGAAAATCTCAAATATATACAATCTAATGTGTTAAACTTACCCAATCACCAAGTGCACCCTGTTTGTCCGGTCTGCTCTATGAATAGAGCCGCAAACCGAGGACTGTCAAGCATACTGCCGAAAAGTGACATAAAGCACAGCCACCAAGTGTTGCCTAAAAATGGCAAAGTTGTTTTAAAAGAGAAAAAATCGGAGTAAAATTAAAAGCATGTATGGAGGAGAAAGAAATAGAGCCTGATTATATGGTCTTAAATGTATATGAGTGTGGAATGTTAAAGACAGCAGTATGAATGAAAACGGGTTAGCCAAAGGTTAACCAGAACAGGTTAATGTGTGTATGCATGCTGAATAAAGAGAAATTTTTTTTTTTTAAATGAGACAAATGAAAAAAAGCTCAGTGAATGTGTGGAGAATTGCAAAGAAGTCAAATGTGTGAGATGTACGATAGTGTATGAAATGTAAAAAAGAAGAACTGTATCAAAAAAGTCTATGTGATCTCAATAGACTAAATATGTAACAAAAATAAAAAATGCGTGCTGCTGGAGATGTATGTGAAACGGACAAATGAAATGTGTGGTGAACTGACAAGAGAGTAGTAAGCTGAGGTAAAGATGGTCTACAAAATGCTATGTGAACAGAATGAGAAAAATGATAGTGATGCAACCCCCATACGAAAATAATATACAATATGTAACCAGTGTAACAAAAACCAAATGTTACTCAACAAACTAATATGTGTAGATATGCTGGATCATGAAGACTCATAGTGGAAAGAATATGTGTTGTGAGGTAGAAAAATGTACTGGTCTAAGACAGGTATAGTGTGTTGTGAAAGCTAAAAACTGTAGCTATAATACATATGAAATATGAAAAATAAAAATACAACGAAAAATTATAATGTATGCAGGTGAAAAAAGGATGTAATGAATAAATAAGCATGTTATAGTAAATGATGTTAGGTCCAGAATGACCTAAATGATCTAATAAGCAGAACAAAAAAAGGTGATTGTGACAACACAAGTATCATGTTAACATGCAGTGTTAAACCAAAGTGAAGATGATGTAAAATGAACCAGACTGCTGCCGAAATCACAAACCACCGCCTCAATATAAACAAATATGGAATCACAATCTATAGACACAAATAAAGATTTTATCCAAATTATACACGACCATCATGCGAGCTAACATCCCGTGAGGGAATCTAATTCATCTAGAAACTGTGAGTCCCACAGTATACATTATCAGCGAATGTTCAAAAAACTGCCAAAGGAATTATATTCATTAAGTCCTTTCGGTTGAACTGTGTCCAAATGTTTAATCCAGAAAGTCTCTCTCTGTAATAATAGCTTCGATCTATCGCCCCCTCTGATCAGGGACTCCCTTTTGAGCAATCTTAGGTTAAAATCGCCAGTCCTAGTATTTGTAGTTAGCCTCTCAATCGCTTGGAAACTAAGGTGTGAGGTATCGCCCTGATGTTGGGAGCGAACGTGGTTAGAGATAGGTGTACTGATGTTACAATTAGTGACGGAATTCACATGTTCTAATATACGCCTACGAAATTGTTGATATGTCTTGCCCACATATCAGTGCTCGATTACAAACAACCAGTACCCTATCTGGGATTTCATTAATTGTAGCACAACCAGAATTGTGTATGTCATCACTTGAAGCTGTAACCTCCAATATGTGGGCAAGATATATCAACAATTTCATAGGCGTATATTACAACATGTCCAAGTGGATCCATGAACTTAAGACCCTAACACCCTTAGGTCTTAATGAGGCGTTTAACTTTATTCCATTTATACACTAGCAATGGCCGTCCTGCACATATCACTCCACAATCCCTCATCACCATTCCCCATGTAAATAGCAGTAGTCTTCCTATACAAATAGTTATTTTTCCACTACTATTTTTTAGTCTTCATTTAACAACATTAGGCTGAAACTTTCATTGTATAATATTATCATGCTTAAGTCTTCATTTCTGTCACATAATGGCTGCAAATAGTCATTATTAAGTTTTATTTTGTAACATAAGGTTGTAAATAGTTAATTGATTAACACTATTATGCTTATGCTTTCATTTAGCAAGTTCAAGCTTTGAATAGCTCTTTCAAGTTTCCTACCAGTTAAGTCTTATGTTCTATTCCACAATGTTTGTGGATAACGCCAGGCAAATCTTTTTAGTTAAGAACCATGCCTAGTATATATTTCACAAGCCTTAATACTCTCAGTAATATTTTCGTATCATTCGCGTTTTGTTTATTTATTTATTTATCTATTTTATTTTATTTTTTTGCATCTTTACTACTAATCTCTACCAAACATGTAAGAGTAAATTTTTTGCTCCACTACTTACCCACCCATTAAGGCATAGAAGAATTCTCATTGGTTAAATTCATTTAAATCCACCAATGAGAACTTCACCAGACATTTAAAAACATGATTCCATCACAAAACCGGTTCCCCTCTGATGAACCTGTGAGGTGAAACGCGCGTCAGGGGAAACATCACTGGTGCTATCCACCAGTCAATTTACTAAGAGTGACCTGTCACTGCACTAAGAGTGACCTCTTTACTTACCATACCAATTAGAGCTTTCTATCGGCATCGGCTCAGGCGTTACCCAGCAGCACTCGAAGCAGCCTACAAAGTCTAGGCATTTCCAGCACACTTCTTTCATTGTAGCAGTATTGGTGGGAATTTTCTATTTGTATTTCCATAGGAGATTGTAGGCTTTTGGCTAAGGGGGTGCCCTCGAAGGCACAAGTACTTAGGGACCACAAGCATTGGAGGATTCCTAGTGTTTTTGTAGTCAACCCCTCTCTACCCATAGCTTGTTGGTTATTTAGCCAACTACTGCAGAATATACCAGGCAATATCTTTGCAGTCTGCACCTCCTAGTTACTATACTGCAGATACTCCCGTCTGCACATACCATAACACTAGGATTTCCAGTGTTTTGATAGTTAACCCCTCTCTACCCATAGCTTGTGGCTTATTAAGACAGTTCCTGCAGAATCTACCAGGCAACATCTTGCAGTTTGTACCTTCTAGTTACTATAATGCAGGTTCTCCCGCCTGCATATACCATAACACTAGGATTTCCAGTGTTTTTGCAGTTAACCCCTCTCTACCCATAGCTTGTTGGTTATTAAGCCAGTTCCTGCAGAATCTACCAGGCAACATTTTGCAGTTTGCACCTCCTAGTTTCTACACTGCAGATACTCCTGCCAGCACATACCCCTAGATGTTATTTCTCACGGTCTTTAACACAGGACCCTATCATCATTTCTGAGATGCTCTTTTCTGCAGTATACTGGCACTCTCAAGCTTGTTTTGGAGTCCAGACACTGCAGTTTCGGTAAACATTGTTATCAGCTTTGTTAATAGCTTCAGTGCAGCTCACTGGGACTTGGTTATTTTTCCTTGAGCCCGGGTACTGGTATATCGATACATTATTGACACTACTAATTTGTAGCTGTTGTTCCCACAGTGGCATTTCACTCTGTTAACGCCAAAGTGCATAACTTTGCATTTTCAACATTAAATTTAATCTGCCATTTGAGTGCCAAGTCCCCCAGTCTATCTAAATCCCTCTGCAGCAAAGTAATATCTTGCTCACATTGTATTATTTTACAGAGTTTTGTGTCATCTGCAAACACTGAAACATGAATTTCAATGCTGATCATTTATAAACATGTTAAATAGAAGGGACCCAGAACAGACCCCTGAGGGACACCACTTGCCACCTCTGTCCAGCTTGAAAATTTTCCATTAATGACAACTCTTTGTACTCTGTTTTTAAGCCAATGTTCTACCCAAGAACAAGCATTTTCATCTAGACCGATTTCCTTGAGTTTGAACACTAATCTATTGTGTGGAACTGTATCAAATGCCGTGGCAAAATCCAAATAGATCACATCCACTGCAACACCTTAATATATACTTCTACTTACTTCTTCGTAGAACGCAATCTAGTTAGTTTGACATGACCTGTGCTTCATAAAACCGTGCTGATTTTTGCTGATAACCATGTTCTTCTCAAGGAATTCTTGAATATTATCCCTTAATAACCTTTCAAATATTTTCCCAGCCACAGAAGTTAAGCTCACAGGTCTATAATTTTCAGGCAAGGATTTTGAACCCTTCAGGCATCTGCATTCCTCCAATCCTCCGGAACACTTCCTGAAAGAAAAGAATCTTGAAAGATTAAAAACAGAGGTTCACTTATTTCTACACTTAGTTCCTTAAGTACTTATGGATGGATACCATCAGGCCCTGGAGCTTTGTTTATATTAACTTTCTTTAGTTGCTGCAGCACCTTGTCTTGAGGTAACCAATTACAATTATTCTTCAAGTTTTTAGTAGCAATCATTTGCACATCTATTGCCATGGGTTCTTCCTTAATATATACGAAGGAGAAATTGTTATTTCAAATTCCTGCCTTTTCCTGGTCTTCATTAACTAACACCCCCGTTTCAGTTTTTAGTGTACCTACACTTTAATTTATTTATTTTTTTTAGAATTTATGTACTTAAAAAATGCTTTGGGGTTGGTTTTGCTCTCTTTAGCTATCATTTTTTCATTTTGAAGTCTAATTGCCTTTTTGCACACATTATTTGCTTCCTTATATCTTTTATAAGATGCATCGGATTTGTCAGATTTAAATGCTTTAAATTCCCTTTTCTTATTTTTAATCTCTTGTTTTACTTCTCTACTAAGGCACATTGGTTTTAATTTGTTTCTTTTATATGTATTTCCCAATGGTACATACTGAGAAATTTCTAATATTTGTTGGAAGATGATCCATTTATCATCAGTATTATTTTCACTAAAGAGTTTATGCCAGTCAATATATTGCAAAGCTGCCCTTAACTTCTGAAATTGGCCTTTTTAAAATTATATGTTTTAGTAGTATTCACATGGAATAAAAAAATCCACAGGTTCTAATGAAATGAACAACAGTGGTCTAATGGATTGAATAGTGGCAAAATTTGTAGTTAACCTAAGTTGTATTTAAATGTCACCACATGTGAGGTGTTTATTAAGTCTTTTCAAAAGTTTTATTACTCAGATACAAAGTACTAACTGCCAGTCTTGCTTCTTCAGGAACTGGCTAGGTTAGAACTTCAGATCAACTTCCTGCTGCACCTAGCTACAAACAAGTCTGTCTGTTCATCATTTCTCTAGCTATTCACTTTTTACAAGCTGATAACTTGTAAATCTGGTTCCATATACTAACAATTCAATCTAGTAAAATCCTAAAAGGTAAAACTAAATATCTATTACAAAAAACTTCTAGAGTTCAGAACAAAAGGATGGTGGGGAGGGCACAATAGACAAGTCATAGAGTAGCTTGGTGTTAAGATTCAGGCTGTTTCTCTAATTTTGAAATGTATTGAAAGCAGTAATTGATTTTTTCCTTTTTATTTATTTTATTTGCATTAGATTTTTTTTTTGTGGTATAACAATTACACACATGGAAACAGTAAAAGCTTGAGTACATACATTGTTGCCTTATAATAAATAGCACACTGTATTTGTGAATAATGATGATAACCATCAAGGGAAAAGATATTCCATACATCCGACATTGTACAATGATATGCAACACATTAAAGGGGCGGAGCCTGACTGCCAATTAGGCCAGACATGCTCAACAGGAGCTCCTGCGTCTGCCAACGGATTTCGGGGTAAACACCTCTACTACTTGTGTTTTTCAGACAGCAAACTACAATAATCGTGACCGGGGAACACTTCAGCACACGGTGATACCAAACATGACACCCCCGATTCTGGGCAGTCCTTCCAGAGGCTTGCGGCCTACACTTGAATGAACCAGGGTGAGACGGCCACTCTCCTAGTTTCTAAGCTGATGCTGAGACTCTTGACCCGCACCCTCGGCTCCATCCACCTCGCTTACCACACACAGCAGTCACCGCTGGGGAACAGGCCACAAGGCTACCCCTTTAAAATGGCGGATGGGCCTCCTAATCCTGAGCTCTGGAAGCAACTTGGGGTGCAAGCTGGATACCCGCTGGCAAGTCTGGATGACATCTTCGCCCATTTCTGGGAGCAGCTAGAGGCCTGAAACAAGGCAGCAACACAAGGCTGGGAAAGTGGATGGAAGAGGTGGCGGAGAAGGGTCCCGTGAGCAACCCTCGGGCACAACCTTCCACCAAGCTGTTACACTTTAAGCATCAAACCCACCTGGGCCGAAAGCCACCAGGGATATTCCCCTTTCACATCACCAATGGAGGCAGAAGATCCGATGCCGCAGGCGGCGAACATCCCAGGGACTCTGCCGCATCCCGCCAGAGAAGGACTTGGACTCAGCAATGAGCACCCAAGTCTGTAGTGTACTGATGCAGGCCCTCACCACAGCCCGGGGCTGGAGGGTTGCCACATTTAACCCCCTCCATGGACTGACTCCGGATCACACTCGCAATCTCCTGAGTCAAGGAGTTGGCTAAAGCTGGACTGTGTTCCCAGGATCCAGGAACTGACACACATGGTTTGACCATGGCTCCCAGTGAATACCCATTATGCTCTAATTTTAGTTTAACTCTTACATTATCTGGCTAGTCCTCTTATGCTTGCTCAGATAGGCATCGCCTAGGTAGCCATTATTGCACAATTAAGTTAACATGTTTATGCTATACATCATCTTATCATGAACGTCTAGCCTGGTAACCCCTGTCTTTAGCATGTTTAGTCAGGCTTAGCTG